CCCCCCCCTTCTGTCTTCCACTCTTGGCATCCACTTTTCACTTTGCTTCTGTTACGAAATATGGAAAATTGGGGGAGAGAGAGAAAAAAAAAAAAGAGTCCACTCCCTGGCTCTGTGCTCGGATACCTTTTATCAATCTCCCACTCCTTCTGAAGTCATCACGCTGCCGGTTCCTGTTTGTTTGGCTTTCTTCTTATCCTCGCTGTCATTACTCGCTTGCTGACTCTTTGCTGCTTTCATCTCGACAATATCCCCTATAAAAGTTGTTGTTCCAGGAAGCTGTACGCAGAAAGGGAGATTCCAAATGTGTGTGTGTGTTTGTGTCAGTGGACCAAGAGGGGACCTGTGGAACAAGTTGTGGGAGTAAAAAGGAATCATAGAGGGAGTTCCTCCTCCAGCATCAGAAGGCGGTCGGCTCTCGTATTCATTGTGATTGCCTGATTTGCATTGATTTAAACTTTTCTTCTCCACAGTGCTGAATTGCTGCGAGGGAGATGTCCTCTTCTTGCTGGACTCCTCGGGGAGCGTGTCGTCCTACGAGCACTCCCGCATGCTCGCCTTCCTGTCGGAGCTCCTCCTCCCCTTCTCGCTGGGGGAGGACCAGGTGAGGGTGGGACTTCTGCAGGTGGGCACCCGGCCCAGCCTCGAGTTCGGCTTTGACGCCCACGGCGCCCAGAGCGGCCTCCAGGGGGCTCTGAGGAACATCAAGCCTCTAAGGGGGGACACCAACACGGTAGAGGCGCTGAGGATGGCCAAGGAGAGGGCGCTGAGGCCCGGGGCGCCGGGCGGGGCCCGGGAGGGGCTCCCGAGAGTGCTGGTGTGGCTGACGGACGGGGTGAAGCCAGGCGATGTGATCGGGCCGATGGCCGAGCTGCGTGAGGAGGGCGTGGCGGTGCTGGTGGTCTCCACCGGGCACGGCAACTACCAGGTGTTGAGGCAGGTGGTGAGTCCGCCGGTGGAGTACCACCTGTACTTTGTGGACATCGATGACATGAGCATCATCACAGAGGACCTGCGGGACGCCATCATCGGTGAGTCGGAATGGGATAGCGGGGGATGTTTGAGGCTGAAGGTACGGAGTCTGAAGTGTGCCACCAAAAATGATTATTGTTTTTCAGTGTTCAATAATAATCATTTTAATGAATTCATATTTCACAATTTCTGAAATGGAGTCACAAAACAGATTCTTTAGATGTCACCGCATTGGACTCTGGTTTCGCTTGCAGGTGTGACTTTGTTAAATTTCTGAAAATAAAAAAGACCTGTCTTTAAATTAGATCAATAGAAACTATGGTTAAACAGGAGACAAATGAATTGTGGGATGGAATATGATCAAACTCTTCATTTTGGAAATGTGATGATTTCATCTGCTGTGAAAATGTCCTCAATTCATTCAATTTACTGATTCATAAAAGCTGCACTGGGCAATATTTTTTCCATAATAATAATCATGGATCAACTGACTGAAATCGCTCTCCCTATTTATCCTATTTATTCTATAAATTCCGGATACGAGGTTTATGCCGTGACGTTATACAGTGCCCCTCAAAAATTCCCACAATGCAAGAAAGAAAGTTGCGTCCAGGGTCCGCAGTGCAATAGAGTGCTGAAGGAACGAGTCCTAAAACCTGTAAATGAGTTCGCTTTTTGCACTTCCGGTTCCCCCGTCATGAGGTCAATGGGTTAAAAGCCCCGCGTCGGCGAGTACATTATGTATAGGGTCGCCCGTACGTATGGACCATTCTCGTGAGCGCGATATCTCGGGAGCACCTGGAGAAAAAGTCGTAAAATTTGGCACGAACGACCACTTGGACTCAAGGATGAACTGATTTGTGACCTCACTAATACGTTTTTACAGCCATAACTCAAGAATTCATATGCTAGTTATGACAATTTCACACAAATGTCTGACAGGATGAGGTGATTACATTTTGGACAGACACAGATGTAAACTGTGACGTGATTAGTTGGTGGAGGCGTACAACCAGGAAGCTATAAATTTCATCGTTTTTTGGTTTACGTGTCTGAAATTAATTTTGTGGTTAACACAAGCTGTTACGTGTCTGAAATAAGTTCTGTGGTTTAAAGATTTTAATATTTTGTTTGACGACATAAACAATGCCAGTTAATATCCCTTTCGTGAATTCTGAAGCTTTTATGTGTCTTAAAAAAAGAAGAGAAAGAATCCGATTGTCTTTTTGTCGAGTGAACCAGTGCGACGCTAACTTTTCTGATGTTGGCCTACAAAAACACGTCACCCTCTACGCCGCCCTGTGCTCTATGCATTTCGTAATCCACCACTCATTCACAGGTCGTAAATATCTCCGTGCTCCTCCCTGATTCCACACATGCTCCTGAAGACAGTGAGTCTAAATAGGAAGCCGGGACATTGAGAGCGTCCGTGTGCCTATGTTACTGTAATGAGATAGGACGATCTATTATTGGATTAATGATTCAATTTCCCTCGCTGCATCCACCAACACTATGCCAGACATGACACATACATATACAGTTGTGTGAAAAAGTGTTGCCCCCTTCCTGATTTCTTATTTTTTTGCATGTTTGTCACACTTAAATGTTTCAGATCATCAAACAAATTTAAATATTAGACAAAGATAACACAAGTAAACACAAAATGCAGTTTTTAAATGAAGGTTTTTATTATTAAGGGGGAAAAAAAATCCAAACCTACATGGCCCTGTGTGAAAAAGTGATTGCCCCCTAAACCTAGTAACTGGTTGGGCCACCCTTAGCAGCAACAACTGCAATCAAGCGTTTGCGATAACTGGCAATGAGTCTTTTACAGCGCTGTAGAGGAATTTTGCATAATTGTTGTAATTCAGCCACATTGGAGGGTTTTCGAGCAAGAACCGCCTTTTTAAGGTCATGCCACAGCATCTCAATCGGATTCAGGTCGGGACTTTGACTAGGCCACTCCAAAGTCTTCATTTTGTTTTTCTTAAGCCATTCAGAGGTGGACTTGCTGGTGTGTTTTGGATCATTGTCCTGCTGCAGAACCTAAGTGCGCTTCAGCTTGAGGTCACGAACAGATGGCCAGACATTCTCCTTCAGGATTTTTTGGTAGACAGCAGAATTCATGGTTCCATTTACCACAGCAAGTCTTCCAGGTCCTGAAGCAGCAAAACAGCCCCAGAC